GCATCGGCAGGCGGACTCTCAACCACTGCGCCACCAGGGAAGCCCCTTGATAACATATTTTATTTTATTTTTTTCAAGTGCTAAACATCTTTTATTGGATAACTTTGTAAAATAATTTATATAAAGTCATGCTTGTAACATTCTGGCCTCTTGTGGTCTTAGATTTCACACCAAAGAAGATTGAGGGCTAAAAGTACCATTACAAGAAGAAACATGAGGGAGGCAGATGCTCAGAGAGTCTGAATTCATGCCTCCATTTGAAATACAAAGAGAAAATACAGGGCTGAGAGCTCCTTGGAAGGCGAGATCAGAGAAATTATAGATGAGGGATCTCTTTGTCACATCATAGAAGGATATCTGGCCATACTCATAGTCCAGGAAAACTCCAACTCTGCACATTTGCTCTCTCCAGGAAACCCTTTTTAAAGGGGGAAAGGCCCAGAAAGTATAATCAGTTCCCATAATGGATCCTGTGAATAAGACCTTATCTCCGGAAGCACTTCTGCTGGCAGAGCTTCCGTGTACGCCCAGCTGCCACCGTGTTGCCTTTTCCACATCCACCTCCCAGTAGTGCCACCCTGAGGTGAAGCTCTCCACACCCAACACAGTGGCGCTGAAGTCAAATCTCTCTGGGTGACTGGGTACATCCTGCTGCACATTTCTGAGTCTCACACTTCTCAGATCCTCAGATAAGACCAGACAGGGATGAGCTGTCTTAGGGTCCAAAGTTATAGGTCCTGCAGGGAGAAAGAAATTTAGTTAACCTAGGGGCTTGTCAGTGCCAGAGACTGATGATTTCTAACATGCAGGGGCTTCCTCACGAGTGGGCACGGGTCTCAGGCACAGATATGGGAGATGCAATCTAGGAGAGCACAGATAAAGGGACCGGGGCTTCCCTGGTGGTGCAGTGGTTGAGAGTCCGCCTGCTGATGCAGGGGACACGGGTTCATGCCCCGGTCCGGGAAGATCCCACATGCCGCGGAGCGGCTGGGCGCGTGAGCCATGGCCGCTGAGCCTGCGCGTCCGGAGCCTGTTGCTCTGCAACAGGAGAGGCCACAACAGTGAGAGGCCCACGTACCGGAAAAAAAAAAAAAAAAGTAAGCAGATAAAGGGACCCCTAAGCTCTGTTTCAAGAAATGGGGGAATTTCCTGGTGGCCTAGTGGTTATGACTCCCGTGCTTCCAATGCCAAAAAAGAAAAAAAGAAAAAAGAAAAGAAATGGACATCACAGAGGAACAAAGTCAATAAGATAATGGAAGGAGATAAAAATGAAATCTATCTGAGGAAGAAGAACAAAACAATGAATAATGAACTACGGAGAGGTTTAGAAATACCTCTCAAAACAGAAAGGAATTCTGCCGGGCTGTAAAAATGACCTGATACTCAGTCCTAGCCCAGTATCACCTGAGACCCAACTCTAGTCCCTAAAGATCTTCTCCAAGCCTGGAACAGCCAGAAACATTAAGTCTTCTAATAGAGCAGTTGATTCATGGCTCTATCCTATGACTGAACTGCTTTCTTCATCTTAAATATCACCAAGATGTGACAGATACTTAGAAACTGCTGCCAGCAGGCCCTTAATATTGAGTAAATCAAAAGAGAACATATCAGAGGCCAGAAATCCTGTGAGAATCCTCCAGAAAAATCAAACTGAGCTCAAGAACGCTCACTGTGATTTCTTATATGGGAATGAAAGTGGTATGTGCCTTCATATCGCTAACTGTTCCTTCTCATTTCTTTCTGTTCAACTTTTAAATATTCTGATTTCTCAGGGATTGGTCCTGGGTCTTACTTTTCACTACTTGTATTCTTTTCCCCTAAGTGCCTTTATATAGCCTCAGTTTTAAATATCTTCTATATGTTCATGACTTACTCCATTAAAAAGTTGACAAATACCAGTTGAACAAAACGCAGAAATTTCAAACATACTCCATCCAAAATGGAACTCCAAACCTATCCCTTCCCAGTTTCTACTTTTCAGAACACTTATTGCTTTATAGTTGGTCAAGCCATAAACCTGTAGTAGTCCTTGATTTCTTTCTTTAACATCTAATCCAGCAGCAGGTTTTAGGAGCAAATGAAATTAAATCTCTGCACTTAATTCATATCATTATTAAAGTGGTCTTAAAAGCCACAAGCCTTGAATTTTAAATTGTCCCAGCCTCCTAGTATTTCCAGAAGACTGGCAGAAATAAATGCAAATTTTCTCTAGAAGTATGTACACCTTCATTCCTGTCCTCAAAGAACTTCTAAAAATAATATTTAAGGAAAAAAGGAAAGCTTACTATTAAAAAAATCATTAACCACACACTCAAAGTAAAAAAGTACTACTGAGTGAGACTAGCAGAAATAAATCTGAAGGACTTCCCTGGTGGCGCAGTGGTTAAGAATCCGCCTGCCATTGCAGGGGACATGGGTTTGATCCCTAGTCTGGGAAGATCCCACACACCACGGAGCAACTAAGCCCGTGTGCCACAACGACTGAGCCTGCGCTCTAGAGCCTATGAGCCACAACTACTGAACCCACATGCCATAGCTACTGAAGCCTGCATGCCTAGAGCCTGTGCTCTGCAACAAAAGAAGCCACTGCAATGAGAAGCCAGTGCACTACAACAAAGAGTAGCCCCTGGTTGCAGCAACGAAGACCCAATGCAGCCAAAAATAATAAATAAATTTATTTTTTAAAAATCTGAAGAATTTTACATACTGGAATTGCCAGGCACAAACTCTACAATAATTTTTGCTTACTATGCTTAAAAAAAAAAAAAAGTATCTACAGAATATAGGAAACTAAAGAAAGCAAGACTAATTGGATTTGACAAAGCACTAAATACATTATCTACAAAGAGAAATAAAATGTATTAAAGTGCCAATGGATTATAAGAAAGCTATAGAAAAATATGTCTCATTAGCATAAATGCAAAAATTCTTTAAAAACCATTACTACATTGAATCTGGCAATATGTAAAATGGCTAAAACATTATTACCAAGAGTTTATCTTGGGAATGCAAGGGTGGTTCAACATATGAAGCAAATATAATTCACCATATCAATATATAAAGGAAAAAATAAATATTTTGATAGATACAGAAAAAAGCATCTAATAAATTCAACATCTGTTCATGATACAAAGTTTTAGTGAATCAGGAGTAGACAGGGAACTTCCTCAAGCTGACAAAAGGCAACTATGAAAAACCTACAGCTAACATTAAACTTAAAGGTGAAAAACAATGCTTTCTTTCTTCCTAAGATCAGGAAGAAGGTAGATGATTCTCACCACTCCTATTCACCATCATATTGAAGGCGCTAGTAAGTGCAAAAGGTAAGAAGAATACAGAAAAGGCTTACAGAAAGGAAGAAAAAAATTGTCTATATTTATAGATTACTTGAATATCTTTGAGAATCCCCTCAAAATCTATAAAAGTCACTAGATCTAATAAATCAGTTTAGCACAGTTGTAAGATACAATGTCAATCAGTATACACAAATGAATATTTCTATATACCATCGATAAACTAGAAATAAATAAAATTTCAATTAGAAGTTGATATTTAATTCCATGAATAGAACTAAAAAATACTTAGGTATCTAATTAAATATGTACAATATTAGCTGAAAACTACAAAACACTGTTGAGAGAAATCAAAGATGACCTAAATAAATGGAGATATACTACCATATCCCTAAATTGTTCTATAGATTCAGTGTAATACCAATCAAAACCCCAGCAGGTTTTTTTGTAGATGCCAACAAGCTCATTTTAAAATTTATGTGAAGGATTTAGAGTAGCCAAAATTATTTTTGAAGGAACAAATCTGAAGAACTCACAGTGCCCAATTTTAAGACTTTTTGTAGAGTAATCAATTAAGCCAACGTGGTATTAGCAAAAGGATAGATACAATGATCAATGGACCTATTAGACTTGACATAGATCTGCTCGTATGTGCCCATGGATTTTTAACAAATGATGTTGGAACAACTGGATACATACATGTACTAAAAGAGGAGGGGAGTTGTACCATATCTCGAATCGTACATAAATATAACTTTAGGGGTCCCACTGGCAGTCCAGTGGTTAAGACCCTGCGCTTCCACTGGTTCGATCCCTGGTCAAGGGCACTAAGATTCCGCATGCCACACAGTGCAGCCAAAATACAAACACACACAACTTTAAATGAACAATAGACCTAAATGCAAAAACTAAAACTGTAAAAATTCTAGAAAGAAATCTTTGTTGAGGTAAAAAAAGATTTCTTAGGACACAAAAAGCACACACCATTTAAAAAAGAAAAAGGTAACTTCAAAATCTAAAACTTCTGCTCTTCAAAAGACACTATTAGGGGCTTCCCTGGTGGCGCAGTGCTTGGGGGTCCGCCTGCCGATGCGGGAGACGCGGGTTCGTGCCCCGTTTCGGGAGGATCCCACATGCCGCGGAGCGGCTGGGCCCGTGAGCCATGGCCGCTGGGCCTGCGCGTCCGGAGCCTGTGCTCCGCAAATGGGAGAGGCCACAATTAGGCAAATGAAAATATAAACCACAGGAGAGAAATATTTGCAAATAGAGTCGTTTTAAATCCTTAAGCTATCTGGAATTTCACTTATGGTAGGATGTTCATTTTATCCTCAAATACAAATGTAAAGTGTCCTGTGATCATGGATGTGTGTCAACTCACTTTGCAGCACTTCTAGCATTTTGCTCATTCCTGTTATTTGGCATAAACTCAGGTCTGTGATTCGGGCGGGCTCTAGACACTGAAGCAGTAGTGACTCACTCCTGTTAAAGAAAGGACGATCTCAGTTACCTGTGCAGACTGCAGGCCCCTCCATCCAGAGGATGGATCTCATTACATGGCCCTGCTATCCGCACCCCAACATCTCTAACCCCTGTGTGCTCACAAATCAGATTGTGAATCTGACCTAAGTGTTTCCAAAATGAATAACTTGGCACAGGGAAACCGGCTCGGTTCTTTGTGGCTGTCTGGAGGGGTGGGATAGGGAGGGTGGGAGGGAGGGAGACAAAGAGGGAAGAGATATGGGAACATATGTATATGTATAACTGACTCACTCTGTTATAAAGCAGAAACTAACAC